CCATCAGTGATTGAGGACAGCATTCTGATGCCCTGATCTTTATTCTCTAGGAAATTTACGAACCGCTTCCTCCATAGAGTGTATTCACCTCTGCGCAGGATTGATGGCCTGAAATTGTCTCCCATAGAATAAGCGTCCATGATTGATTGTTGAATGTCGATCGTTGAAGTGTTGTGTTGATTGACTAAGTTACACAGAAGTGACTTGGTCAGCGTGTTTACCTTCTTCACTTTAGCTCTTTCTTCCCTCTCGTGCATTATCTTGTACATCTCATCCCACAGGTCCTTTGCAGTTGACATGTTGTCAATCTGCATGTAGATGTCGTTTGGGATGGCTCGCAGCAGATAAGACTTGGCCGTTACATCAGCTCTAGCTCTAAGTCTCTCTTGTTCAGTATATTCAGAAGGTATCTTCAGCTCCTGTGAAGCAGGTATAGGAGGGTTGTTTTCAGGAGCACCGGGTATGGTTTTCCAGAATCTTGCAGGTCCATCAGTGATGGAGGACAGCATTGTGATGCCCTGATCTTTACTCTCTAGGAAACTTATGAACCGGTTCCTCCATACAGTGTATTCACCTCTGCGTAGAATTGGTGGATTGAAATCGTCTCCATAGAATGAGTGTACATAGAATAAGTGTACATAGAATAAGTGTCCATGATTGATTGTTGAATGTCGATCGTTGAAGTGCTGTGTTGAATGACTAAGTTATGCAGAAGTGACTTGGGCCGTAAACTTGTGAAGGACTAAAAATGTGGATAATGATCCAAAAATCTGAAGAAAGGAAACAGATAGGAAAGCTTTCAAAACAGAACAAGAAAAAATTGCTTAATGTGATTTCTTCTCTCAAAATCTCCCCTCATTCCAGCACAGTTTCAACCACCGAAACCACTGTTCCTGTTCCACATGACATTTCCCCAAAAACTCCCTTAAAACAGATTTCTTAAGCAAAGGGCTCATCCATGTTTTCAAATGTGCCAAATGTGCCCACAGGAAAATCTTTAACTATATGGCAGGAGAAGAGGATGGTCTGGATCCCAAAACGTGAGAAAAAAGAAGCAGCAAGACTTAAGCATTTTCCCAAGAGGACGAAGCAACACGCTTTTGTTTCGAAGTATTGATGGTCTACATATGATACAATGCCCCTAGAACTTTAGACTTATAAAACTAAGCTTCTCAATCTAGAACCAGTACTAGCTACTATATAGTTCTTAATTGATCAGACAATTGGACAAATATTATCATTTTCAGGGAAGTTGAACAGCATTTACTGTCCAATTCAGGGGGAAACATAGAAGTGCTACTCAAAACAAAAGATTCATATAGAATGTTACGTTTGTATAATTTTAGTGATTTCTACTATTTCAACATTTCGAGAAATCCTTTGGCTCACCACTGAGCAAAAAAGTTAAAAATTAAGATGTCCTAAATAGGAGTAAATTTTTCCCTAAATAGGATTACTACTCGGTATGTTTTTTCACTAAATCGGAATACATAATACAATGTCTGTATCACTGTATGATGACAATGTTGATATATTTTCAGGACGAAAGAACCCCTGTAAAACTCCTATGTTTTACTTCATGAAGGCATGGATTTTGGGATTTCAGACTCTTAACCTGTGGCACCAATCCAAACCCTATTATCAGGGGTAAGACCCACTTCTAGAATTGGAAACTTTCTACATCACTGGAAAATCTGAAAAAATATATACACGATCCTACACGAGTCCGACGGAAAAGGGGAATTACATTGATATACTCGAAGCGGGTAAATGGTTATTAAAATTACCTCTTCTGATCATCGTGACGGCGACAGACGAAAAAAGCGGGATGAAATCGGCAGGAAGAAGACGTATTCGAGTGGGGGGTGAACGTGACCTTGCATCTCTTGCAAACCTTCTCTCGTTGCTTATTTACTGATCCCTCTTCTTTCACCACCTTCTTGGCCCTTTCCATTCTTTATAGTTTATAAATAAATTTAGCGGCTTCTGTTTCCTATTAGGATACAACCATCGCCGTAGATATACTTACCGAGTACCGAGTATTTTTAATTAAAACATTACTCTACTGCGTACTCCATCCGTCCAGCAAAAACTTCCAGTTTTCTCTTTTTAGCACTCCCAGAAAAGAAGTTCTCATTTCCCTAAATGGAAGTTATCTACATCAAAACAATGTCAAACAGTGTCGAAACAGTGTTAAAACAGTAAAAATTACCCTTGGTAAGTTTATTTCTTTAATATGTGTAGGTCAAACCGGAAATTTCTTTGCGGGACGGAGGGAGTATTATTTATATACTATCCCCGTTCCGTTTTAATCGCAACATGTTGAATTTTACACTATTCACATTCTCTACTTTGACTACATTTTACGCTATTATTTTATGAAAATTATTTTTAAAAAAAAATATTGTTCAATTCATCTCATTACAAAAATTTAAAATTTGTTTTTTAATATTTTTTTTACTAATAGAATTAAGATATAATTACGGTCAAAGACGTGCGTTGGCAAATGTGAAATGTTAACCGTTGCAACTAAAAAGATTGCCACGTTTGACAGTCACGTAGAATAATAAAGTAAAAACTGAAAAAATGGCGTCTCTATAATCATTGGACTTTTGAATTCCAAAACCATAACCTTTTCTCTATTTTCCAAAAATATGACAAATCTGAAGAGGGCCCAACACATCTCCTTCTCATAGATCCCAGGCTCCCAGCGCACCACTTGCGACTCCATTTCAATTTCCAGCAGAGGCAATTTGCTCCGCATCATCTGCTCGGAAGGGGAGCTCGGTCCACCGCGGCTTGCATCATCGTCGGCCATCTCCTTCCTATGCATCATCTATTCAATCGACGACGGCGGCTACGATTAACAACGAAGGCGGTTACGAAGAGTGGCAGCGGCTACACCTGCTCCTCTCCTCTCTCATTATCTTCTTCTCCTTTCTTGTCCACAAATCGGCGTTGCTCGCTCCGCTTCGTTTCTTCTCCTTCTAATGGCTTCTCGAGCTTCACCTTCTCCGAGCCGCACCAACTCCTCCAACGGTGGAGACGAGCTTCGTAGATCTGACCAGAAATTACATCCTCCCGCGGCGAGATCCATCCATCTGGTGACGTGCTTCGTCGTATTTAGGAGGGAGGAGTGGCAGAAGGCAGATCCTAGTCGATCTTGACTAGATCTGAAACTGGACAGGACTGGTTTAGCTACGGACGGAGCAGAGAGAAGTGATAGAAGACAAGGATTTGGTGTAGGCGGTGGCGGTGGTCCGGTCAGCTGGTAGCGGTGGTCGGGCCAGACGATGGAAGTTGCCTGGTCAGTAGTGGCGGCAGGCCACCGACGGCCTCGGAAGGTCACCGGCTGCGGTGGCGGGACCAGCCGTCATGGTTGACGTGGTAGTAGCACCGGTGGGTTGGGGAGGGGGCCGGTTGACTGGGGAGGGGCTGGTTGACTGGGGAGGGGGCTGGTGGTTTGGGGAGTGGGTGGTGGGATGGGGAGGGGAGGGGTGGGGTGGGGTGGGATGACGGTGACAGTGACCGACGATCACTGAACGGAATCACTGTGGCCGGTGGGGTCACTTTGGCCGGAGTTACTGCGGCTGGAGTCACTGTGGCCGGAGTCACTTTACCCTGAGTCACTTTGGCCGTAGTCACTTTGGCTGGAGTCACTTTGACCGGAGTCACTTTGCCGGCGCCGGCAGTGGCGGTGGTGCCGATAGTGGCGGTGGTGCCGGCAGGGGCGGCGGCAGGGGCGGCGGTGTTGCGTCGGCGGTCATAGGACTACTAATCAAATATATAAAATGAATATTAAAATGATAAATGTATGATTAAACACATGGAATATGCCTTTTAGTCACATTTTTGGAAAAATTTAATACAGGTCACAAATTTGTCTTTTTCTTTCATTTTAGTACTATTGGAATAAAAAGGCCTAAAAACTGTGTGGTAGATATTTGTGCAGAGGAGAGAGAAACAACATGAGCCACAAATTGATTGATTAAAAGGGAAAGTGACAAAATTTTTGGGACAACCAAAAAAGGAAAGTTGTCAAAGTTACAAGGGATGGAGGGAGTATTTTTTACAAATAAATACAAAGTATAATTTGTAAAAAAAAAGGACATCGCCATTTTTACTCGAAAAAAAGGGAGAACTACCAAATAAGCCCTCGAACTTTCATAAAAAGTGCAAATAAGCTTTTTTATAGGAGGCTCTGTCCGGACGTCGCCATTTGTGGTGTTTTACGGTGGAATTTTTTGTTAAATTTTTTTGAGAATCTTCTTCATTAAGTCTAGTTTACTCATACCAAATTTCAGCTAAAAATTCAATTGGGAAGGTAGTGAAATGAAATTTTGAAGATAACTGCGCAGTTAGGCAGCGCAGTATACTTCATAATATCATTTGACTGCCTTCTCCGATTGCTTTTTTAGCTGAAATTTGGTATGGGTAAACTAGACTTAATGAAGAAGATGCTATAAAAATTTCATCAAAAAATTCAACTGGAAACAATCCCAAATGGAGACAGCTGGACAAAGCCTCCTGTAAAAGGGCTTATTTGCACTTTTATGAAAGTTCGAGGACTTATTTGATAGTTCACCCTCGAAAAAATTATTAGCAATTCACACTCTTTGTATGTTTTCATTTGGTTTGTTTATCATCTTAGATCAGATCAAACCAGAATCAAATAGATCAGACCAGACTTAAATAGTTCATATCAAATCAAACGAGACCAGACTAGACTCCAACAGACCATATCAGACCAAATCAAGATATTTTAATTTAAAAGACAACATTCAAATGACTAAAACTTTTTCACAATCCGAATATATGACCTAACTAAATTTTTCCCAAAATAATATTAAAATTCATAATATTTCATTAAAATTCGTAGTAAATAAATAATTTATATGCACCGATATACCCTTTACTCCTTTTGATCCTTTCAAAAAAAATACCCTTTAGATTATACCTATAAAATCCCTAACATCTCACTCCTTATTTCCAATCCTAGTCTTTAGTCTCCCACCGCCCAAAATGCACCCGCCTCCCGCTAGCCGCTGCTCGGACCTCCAACAATTGCCCCCCGGCCCACCGGTCACCTGTACGGACGTCGGCCGCCACTGCCCAGCGGCACAGCCGCCGGCCACCCCCATCCAGCGGCACACATGATTGCCCATCTCAATCGTCCAGTCATGCGCCTGCTCGCCGCCGCCGTCCTCAAGCCTGCTCGCCACCGTCGTTCCCAAGTTTGCTCACCACCGCCGTCACCAAGCTTGTTCGTTGCCGCCGTCCCCAAGCTTGCTCGCCGCCGCCGTCCCCAAACTTGCTCGCCGCCGCCGTCCCACCACACAACCACCTCCTCGTTGCTTCCGTTAACCCGTGTGCCTTCTCACCCGCCACTTGAGATTAGGTTGTGTGGGCTTCTTCTATTTAATGAAATTAGAGTTTGCGAGCATATGGACCCACTGCCCCATCATCGACGTCGCCCCAGTAGTACCTTCGCCTGCCGCACAGCCGCCGACCACCACCGTCCAACCACATAATGTTGGAGACGAAACCTAGGTTAAAGACGATTGAAGACAGTGTATGAATTTCTAGGACAGTGAGTAATGAACGCAGTGATTAATTTGTATTTAATGCAGTGAATATGACAAGAAGTGACGTGGTATGACAGAAACTCTAAATATTTATAGAAATTAGTTCAAATAGAATTAAAATTATGGCAAAAACCTAAAATAGGACTTGCTATGTTTTTATTCCAAAATAGGACCATATGAGTCTTATTGGAAACATACCTATTTTTGCATTCTATTCTTACCCTTCAATTAAATATGAATTAAAAATAGTCAAAAGTCATAATTAAATGTTTAATTCATAATAAATTCGAAAAAAATTAAAAAATTCGTAGAAATATAATTAAAAATTTTATAAAATTTTTATAAAATAAAAAATTCAAAAACTTTTTTTTAAATAATTTTATTTTTAAAAAAATTAATAAAAAATAGTATAACTTCGTAAAAAAATTTAAAAAAATATGGATGTCTTTCCCACCGCCTGTACTACCTCCCAGCACCACCACCTCCGGCCGATGAAAAAAATGCCATTTTCCTAGAAAAATGCCATTTTTTTCTGAAAATGCCAAAAAAGTGGCATATTTCTCTTTTCAAATGCCAACATTTTCATTTTTTCTGCCATAAATATGGCATTCGTAATGAACTTGGCATTTTTCCCTCCTGGTGATTGGAGGTGGTGGTGCTGAGGCGGCAGAGGCGGCGGTGATTTTTTTTCGAGTTTTTATTTTTTTATTTTTTTTTTTATTTTTTTAATTTTTTGAAAAAAAAATTAATTAAATTTTTAATATCGAAATGTTTTTCTTAATTTTTTAGTATTTTTTACGAATTTTTATCATTTTTTATTATTTTATTAGGAATTAAAACATTTTAATAGCTATAAGGGTATAATTGTCCAAGGTACACATAATTAGTCCTATGCAAACATAGTTCATTTTTTGGTCCTATTTGTGAAAAGTGAATGACTTTTAGTCCTATTTTGATAATTAACTCAAATTTTTAACATTTCTACAATATCATGTCATAACTCTGACATGAAGTGCAGTGACCTGGGCATAAAGTGCAGTGACCTGGACATATTTAATTAGACGTAAAACACTGAAACCTAAAGTTATCAAATCTAAAAAAAGAACAATAACAGAATAACATTTTCGTAATGCTTTGAAAAAACATTTTTGTAATGTCGTGCAGTAAGTCAGGAACACCAACATAAAGTGCAGCAAATGTCGTGTAGTAAACGCCCTCATAAAGTGCAATATTTTTACTCAAAAGTAGTGCAAAATGCACATTTTTAAATAATAGTATTTTCATCCTTCAACATTTTAATACGGCGAGTTTTTTTTCTGTTTTTAGTCATTGGAATGTTTTGAAACATAGTTACTCATATTTCTGGAAACCCAATATGTTTTAGGGGGTGTTTGGATATGATTCTTAAAACTGCTTCTGCTGCTTCAGGGAGCAGAAGCAGAAGTTGGAGTGTTTGGGTGAAAGTGCAGAAGTGATTCTGATGCTCTAATTTACTCCTAGAATCAGTTTTTTAGAAGCTGGGGGTGACAAGCTTCTGAAAACTGATTCTGATTCGACTCATGCTTTAAAAAAGAAGCAGAAGCAGAATCAGTTCCAAACACCCCCTTAGTCACATTCGGGGCAATTTCCTTACTTTTTATTGAGCACGTAGCCGGCCTATCAAGACAACTCTTTCTAAGAAAATACAATTTAATTATTAAATTAAAATATATTCATAGTTGCATGTAGACATGTCCCCGATTCGGAACCGAAGCGGAATCGGAACCGAACTGCCGGTTCACGGTTCAAAATATTAGCGAACCTTAACTGGACCTTATTCTTCCGATTATAGGCGATTTCAGAATCAGTTTCTGGTCCCTGTTCTTGTCCGGTTTGACGAATTTTAGTTTTTTCTTTATTATTACTGTTCTTTGATAGTATTTATATGTATTTAATTAAAACAATAAAGATATACTAACAATACCTTCGAGTTAAAGATTTTATTGAACAAAAAACGCAACATATAAACACTCACACTTTTAAATACCACAATATACACTTTATAATAGATAGTATAACATATTTTACCAAGTACAACACAACTTTATTTGTTGAGTTATATATTTTATTAATTATATATAAATTCAAATAACATAATTAATAGAAAATTTAAACTATGTCACACATAACTATCACTTTACAAATTAAATATAAAATGATGATATCATCTTAAGGGTGCAGTTTGTTTTTTCAAAGTTTTTAAAAAATATGGTTTCAGCGGTGGTTCCAGTTTCGCAAAAATCGGTAAATTGAATCGCCTGAGTAAATTGAAGGTTCCAAGGTGCCCCTTATCCCGATTCCGGTTAAACCGGAAATTAGGGATAGGTATAATTGCATGTTGTATGCGTTTTCAAGAGCTTTCAACCTTGTCAGCAAAACAAGATCTTTCAATCTTGAACTAAAGTTAGATAGATCTTTCAAGTACCATCTCTACATAAATCTTCTATTCAGTTTTTTATTTTGAAATTAAATAATTAATACGATCGATTCCCAATTTTATACTCCATCTGTCATATAAAATTTGGTTATATTGACTTTTCTTGATCAATGATGACTAAATTTGACCAATGATACTTTTAAAATGGAATTAATAAAAGTATGAAAGTTATATGAAATTGTTCTTTCTAGAAAATACTTTCATAAAAGTTATAAATTTATCTCAAATATATTAATCAATGTTATAAACCTTAATAGACGTTAGTCGGGTGCCAACACAACGCTTAACGGCTAGGCGGGCGCATAAGTGCGCCTAGTCAGAGACATAAGAGTGATGATATTTTGTATAAATATGATAAGTGTTATAGTGTTTGTGTGTGTTATACAGACACAGTAACACACATGAATGACATAATCACTACATGCATGATGCATCTAATCACTTAACTTCATTATGTAATATAAGTACGAAGTATTAAATAATACAGAATAATAAATTCAAGAATATACAAAAAAATGAATACGCTCTGAGCGGGCAACTAGGCACCATAGACAAACAATTAATTCAGCTAGGCACCATAGACAAACAATTAATTCAGCTAGGCGCCAAACCAATTATTTGGGGTGCCTAGCTGAATAAGTTTGGTGCGAAATCAATCGTAAGCTCACAATTTTCTACTATTTCTACCACGATATCATATTGTTTTTGCCGAAACTCGTCTTTTCTTTTTCAAGAATATCCCACCATGTTAATAATGGTGGATATATAATACTTCAAGGAATCACGCGTAAACTAAATTTTTGGAACAACAATTACAACAATTAATTGCACTTGATGAGCAAAATAATGAATATATCTTGTGTATGGATTTTTGTTCAAGATAAGAGTTATGAATCTATTAAGTTATTCTTGCATATTAGAACTTAGAAACCTATAATACTCTTGGCCTACCCTTTGGACAGAGATAATTTGTATCTGGCAAAAAATGGTCAATTCACTTTTTAAAGAAAGTGCAATGATGCCAATAATGTGTTTAGTACCAAGGAACACTTCATAATATCACAACTCAGTTGTCCTTTAAATAATCCTTCTATCCCTATTTGATGGTCTTATTACATTTGGTGCAAATATTAAGAAGTGTGTTAAAGAGACTCTTGCACCCTTAACTTTGGAACTATTCGCTGCTTTTTTCCCTTGCGTAGAGTTCCCAAGGGGGTCTTTTTTACCGTCGACTACAGTTCCAAACATAATTACTCTCTCCGATCCCTATTAAAGTTCACACTTTCCTTTTTTGGATGTTCCTTATTTAAGTTCACACTTCCATTGTAGGAAACAAAAATGTCAAATAGTGTCCAAACAGTGCCAAACAGTGTCCAAACAGTGACAAACAGTGCACTCTACAGTAAAGTCAAATTTATTTTCTTAATCTGTGTGAAGTCAAATTGAGAACTTTAATAGGGACCGGAGGAATATATCTTTGTTTTTCATTTGAGATGCACAGTACATAGAAGTTTTTAAACCACAAACACATTCATTAAACTTGTGAGGGAAATCGGTTAAGCTAGTTTTCACCATTTCCCTGCTTTAATATACTAATTACAAACCAACAAGAGTCTAAAAAAATAGAGGGAAACTACGGTATGAAATATCAAATTATAGACACTTTACACATATAAATACATCATTCATTACACAATAACTCTAAATTAACTACTACTCAACTCTGCACCTTCATCTTCCTTAATGCCAACCGCATCTGGTACACTTGCACACCAAAACAGGTTGTTAACCGAGGAAAGAGGAGTGCGTATACCATGCAACCTGTGCATGTTGAGCACCATGCACCCATTGAGTATTATTTTTTCTCTTTTTTAAAATTTGGTAATAATTTTTTTTACTTTTGATCCGATTTCTATAAAATTTATGTCAACATTTTTTTATTTTTCATGATCTTTCAAATTAGACCAATATTGCCTATGTAATTTTAACATATTATCGAACTATTATATTAACCTATGTAAAATATGTAATTTTATGTGTAGAAATATGTAACTCACGTCTAGTCAGGCCAAATGCAACTCGTGTGTATAAACTATGTAACTCGCGTTCAGACAGGTCAAATACAACTCGTGTGTATAAATATGTAACTCACGTGTATAAATATGTAACTTTACGTGTAAAAATATGTAACTCGCGTTCAGAGTTCAGACATGTCAAATACAACTCGTGTGTATAAATATGTAACTTTACGTGTAAAAATATGTAACTCGCGTTCAGGCAGGCCAAACGCAACTCGTGTGTATAAATATGTAACTTTACGTGTACAAATATGTAACTTTACGTATAAAAATATGTAACTCACATGTATAAATACATAATAAAATAATTTTTTTATATACACAATTTTAAGATAAATTGTGATTTACACAATTATTTTTCTGTATTAAATTTAGTTCGATTTTCCTTATAATCCAATACTCATTAATATAATAGTTCGATAATTTCTTAAAATTACATAAGCAATATTGGTCTCATTTGAAAGATCATTAAAAATAAAAAATGTTGATATAAATTTTATAAAAATCGGATCAAAAATAAAAAAGTTATTAGCCTTTTAAAGAAAAAAGGAAAAAA